CTAGCACAAGAAGTCGGAGTAAAGCTACTCCCATAATCAAGATAAATTATACTATAATCTTGTGCTACAACCATCAAGATATTTTGTCCAATAATATCTTTGATTGTGAACATAGTTTGTTAATTATGAGAACCGACAATTTAATCTTCTGTGCATGAGCTAAGACTCTATACACTAAATTGTCTACTACATAACCAAAAGGACGCACATGTAGCAAATGATCTATTTAAAATAGTACTTTATTGAATTGAATAAATTAAATAAATAATTGTTCCATAAAGAATAAATATAATACTATGTCTAAACCACATGGTTAATAGTATATCCCAACAGTGTCAACACTAGATAAACATTATTGTTGAATATCGTAGGTGGTAAACGTACTAAAACTATCATTATTGTAAAGACTTACTGAAAATCTAAGAGACCCCTTGTGACCCAAGGAAACTAGACGTAGATACCATCCCGGTACTTAACCAGTATATGCCTCCTTTACTGAATGCTATTGTCCGAGATAGAGCAGGTTAAAGCTCCTATTACTAATATTGCGTTAATGCTTGAACCCTTAACTTTTTTGGTAAGAATCAGATAGTTGAATTTGAAAGTTGATGGGTCTGTCATCCCATATTTGTCTCGAGGGGTTCTAATCCCTTTTATCTATTGCTTGGAAAAAGCAAGTAACAGAAAAAGGAAAGAAAACGAGTCTGAGAGTCTGTGGACGGGCTTGGGTCTGATAAAAGAAAAGGGTTGGGTTACTAAAATGGATGGGCCAAGATTTTGGGTTGGGACAAGAAAATCCATGTGGGCCACTAATTGAATGCCACATGTTCAATTAACATGTCCATTATTGCCGTGTCATGATTCCGTTAAGGGAGGGATATTTTTAACCCTAAATATAACGTTAAGGATAATTTTGAACCAATAGGTGGAAGGAGGACATTTTTAGGCTATTTCTAATACGTTAAAGGGCATCTTTGGTCCTTTTTCGTTTATACTAAAAGAACATCGGAGTCGACCTAAGGGTGTTAAACGGGTGGTCCGGGCCGGTCCGGGCCTGTGTTATTTGGACCCGTACGGGTTTGGTCCGGGCCGGTTCCGGGCTTGGTCTTAACGGGTTTAACGGGTTCGGGTTCATCCGGGTAAAAATTGAACCGTAAGGGTTACGGGTTGAGGGGGCCAGGCCGGGCCGGGCCGGGTTTAGTATTTTTTTAATTTTTTTTTTGAAATTTTGTATAACTATTGTAAGTTATATTAATACTTTGTATTAATTTAAAGAATACAAGGAAGATGGGAAAAAAATTGTACTTATTGCAAGTGCTACTTTTATTTCATAATTCAAATTTCAAACTTACAAATTGAAAGGTATACATTTTTAACAACAAGTAAATTCAAAGGTTTTGCATTGCCTTAGTAAGTTCTTCATAATCAATATGAACCGATTGACCTTCTTCTGGAGTGTTAAATTCGGATGGGTTACCATGTGTTAATATATCTCCAAGTTCCTCGTCTTCTGGGCTATCAACATCTTCACGTCCTTGATTTCTTCGTTCCGATCTAATCCAATCTCTGAAACATACTAAAACTTCCAAAGCATTGCTTCCCAATGAGTGGCGGGTGTCTCCAAGTTGTTGTCTTGCTTGGCTAAATGCACTCTCCGATGCAACAGTAGAAGTTGGCACATTCAGCACGTCCCGAGCCATAGCGAAAAGAACAGGAAATTGCTTTCCATTCTCATGCCACCATCCCAACGGTGAAAATTCCTTTGTGCGAGGCTCTTTTTGCTTCTGCAAGTAGAATTGAAGTTCATCAATGTTCCTGCTACTGGTTTGAGTGTTAGAAAATATAGAAAAAATATTAAAACTATCAAGGCCTTCTTCATCATCCACAGTAGCAGAAGTGCTACATTGCATAGTGGGATTAACATTGCCTACAGCACGAGCAGCATCATCAATTACATTTGCATAATAATTATATAATTGTTGTAAATATTCATTTAGCTTGTTCATAGAGACATATAAATTTGGGGTTTCAGTTTCTCCAATCTCCAATCTCCATATAAGTATATAAAGCATTCATTAATTGGTGACAATCAGACATCTTAATAGAAGGATTTAAAACTGCACCAATTAAGTAAATCGGAGGAATTGAAAAGAAATATTTTTTGAATTTTGCTTGCATTTTTTCAACAACATCCTTATATTTTTCTTTCTTCTTAAATTCAGATAGTAGAAAAGAAATTTCAGCTATATGTACTAAAGCCATAGTAACGGTGGGGTAATATGCTCCAGAAAACTCAACAGTAGCTGTATAAAATTTATGTAAAAATTTAACAACATCATTAATGACCTCCCAAGTAGCACTTGTTAACATACGGTTTGGATCAGTACAATGCGCATTAGCAACTTCAGTTATTGGGAATCTATATTTGTAGCAACATTTTAAAAATATATATGTATAATTCCATCTAGTAACAATTTCGTCTGGCATGAATCTGGGTTTAAGGTTATATTGGACACACTTATTCTTAAATTCCTTTATTCTAGATTGTCTATTATTTCCTTGAATAACACCAACTGCTCTTCTAACATGTAATCTCAGTTGAAAATAAATCAAGGCCACTTTTAACAATTAAATTATAAACATGACATGCATACCTAACATGAAAAATTTCATCAAGAGGTGGTTGCAAATGCAGTTTCAATATTGAAATTGCGGCATTATTGTTAGAAGCATTATCAAAAGACATACACAATACTTTTTGCTTTAGATTATAAAATTCAACTACTTCACAAAAAGTACTACTTATAAACGCAGCAGTATGACTCTGATCTTCATCATATCTAAAAGCGATAATACGTTTTTGCATACAAGTAGTATCATCTATCCAATGACATGTAATTGTCAAATAATCATTTCCATTAACAGCATGGCCAATATCAGAAGTTAGAGAAACTCTACAAGGAAGGTGGCTAAACAAATAACGTATGTATGTTTGATATTGTCCATGAAGTCTAAAGATATCAGCTCTACAAGTACTTCTAGGGATACCTTTAAATAAAAGACTGTAAATCCTTTGAATATACATAATAAGATATGATAAAGAAGCAAAAGAAAAAGGTAGACATCCCAAAGCAATCATTTTTGCTAACTCCTCACGATCCTTCGTTTTATCATATTTCACTAGACCTCCAGTAGTAGGGTTAATAGTTGTTTGATTTCCATCACCATCAGCGCCCCATTCTATGGGATGCTTAGTTCTCATATGTCTACTAAGCGTCCCAGTCCCCCCTAAATTTCCTCCAGTTAAATGTTTAAAATCACCTTTACAAAGTTTGCATTTAACTCTATCAGTACCTTCTATTATTTCAAACAAATTCCAAACCTTACTTCTTTTTCTACGATAAGTAGTCGGAGCCACAGGTGGTCTACTACTAGTGTCACGACCACCACCCCTTGTAGCAACTCCAACACTAGTAGTTGTAGCCGGTATCTCATCTTCCATTCCTATTTCATTATCTTCTATTCCAAAATCTTCTTGTAATTGTTCATAATCTATATTATCATTAGGCGATGTTTCAGAAACATTTGTAAATTGGGTATTACTATTACTACCAGATGCTGAAGGACTACCTCTTTTTTTATTTCCCCTACCAGTAACTTTTCTACACGCTCTTTTAGCAGCATTCAACATATTGTAAAAATTAAAGTATAAGCTAAAATTAAATATGCAATTAAAATATTAAATAAGAGAAAGAGTTGGAGGGAGTGCACCGAATTCGACAATAAATTGAGCACTTGATTACGCAATTCCGATGTTACCACGAACAAACGTCAAGCAAGTATTTCAATTTTGAACTTCAAACTTCAAATTCCGAATGACAAAACACGATAAATTAAATTCAAGAAAAGAGAGCCAAATAAAAATTATAAAATTAGAAGATGAAATGATGAATTGAAGACTTGAAGTCTTGCAAATTGGAGAATGAGAGAATGAGAGAAATTGAGATTGAGAAATAAGTATTGAGTGAAGAAATGAAGAAGAGGGGGGGGGGGGCATTTATAGTTTTAGAGAAGTTTAGTTTTGTAAATTGAAAAAGGGTTAAAAATTTAAAAAAAAATAGGCTATTTATGCAAAAGACCCGTTGGCCAACGGACCAAATCAGAATCTGACCGTTGCCAACGGTCTGTGGGCCCCATTCAATTCGAAAATTAAAAAAAAAAACAAAAAAAAAACTATCCGTTGAACTGGGCCGGGCCGGTTAACCCGGTAAGAGTGAACAGTAACTCTACCGGGTTCAACCGGGCCAGTTACCCGTTTCAAAAATTTAAACCGTCCAAACCCTCCCAATCCCCCTACCCAGCCCAGCCCAGCCCAACCCCCCCCCCCCCTTACCGGTCCGGTCCGGTTTCGGGTTCTACCGGTCTGGGCCGGTCCGGAACCGGGACAACCCGACCCGTTTAACACCCTTAAGTCGGCCAATGGATACTCTATCAGATGCTCCGCTGCATGGAATAATTCCTGCTACAATAAGTTAACAGCTAATGACCAAAATCTCTGCTACTAAGACTTGTAATTGCACACTTTATCCAATGTCACGATCAATATCAAAGTTAAAACTTTAAACGAAGTTTCGTCTTTGAACAGAACACTGGTCTTAAAGGTAAAGAAAAAGGCAAAGTTTGAGTCTGCGCTTGACTTGTGAGTTGTGACGGAAGAGCATATGTCACATTCATCATCTGTATTTGGTCTTAGTACAATGCCCTCTTCTCTAAGAAATTGGGAGTCACCACCCCTAGGCCCCCACCACTTTGTCTTCATTTTTTGATTGGCTCATTGGCTTTGCCTGTTAAATCAATCACGCGAGTGCTTACGTACGTACTCTGCTTCAACCAAAATAATTGAAAAACTTTTTTTCTTGAAGGAGAAGTCAGTCTTAATTACTCATCGTAATATACAGCTTCAACGAAAGTCACAAATAATTCCACGTATAAATAACGTGAGAGTCTCGCAACTGCATCATTAAACACTCATGCAATCATATAAGAACTGAAAACAACCACACAGCTTTACTTTTCTTTCTGCTTTCTGCTACTAAACTACATCTTTTTTTCTTTCTTTCCACAAATGGGTCAGCTCCATTTTTTCTTCTTTCCTATGATGGCTCATGGCCACATGATTCCTACACTTGACATGGCGAAGCTCGTTGCTTCACGTGGTGTTAAGGCCACTATAATCACAACCCCACTCAATGAATCTGTTTTCTCCAAATCTATTCAAAGAAACAAGTATTTGGGCATCGAAATCGAAATCCGTTTGATAAAATTCCCAGCTGTTGAAAACGACTTACCTGAAGAATGCGAACGCCTCGATCAAATCCCTTCAGATGATAAGCTCTCAAACTTCTTCAAAGCTACAGCTATGATGCAAGAACCACTGGAACAACTTATTGAAGAATGTCGCCCTAATTGTCTTGTTTCTGATATGTTCCTTCCTTGGACTACTGATAGTGCAGCCAAATTTAACATTCCAAGAATAGTCTTTCATGGCACAAGCTTCTTTGCTCTCTGCGTTGAGAATAGCGTCAGGCTAAATAAGCCTTATAAGAATGTGTCCTCTGATGCTGAAACTTTTGTTGTACCGAATCTGCCTCACGAAATTAAACTGACCAGAACCCAGTTGTCTCCGTTTGAGCAATCTGGGGAAGAGACAGCTATGACCCGGATGATAAAAACAGTCAGGGAATCAGATTCAAAGAGCTATGGAGTTGTTTTCAACAGTTTCTATGAGCTTGAAACAGATTATGTTGAGCATTATACTAAGGTGCTGGGTAGAAGAGCTTGGGCTATTGGCCCGCTATCGATGTGCAACAGGGACATTGAAGATAAAGCTGAAAGAGGAAAGAAATCCTCTATTGATAAACACGAGTGCTTGAAATGGCTTGATTCAAAGAAACCCAGTTCCGTCGTCTACGTTTGTTTTGGAAGCGTAGCTAATTTCACTGCATCACAACTACACGAACTCGCTATGGGAATTGAAGCTTCAGGACAAGAATTCATTTGGGTTGTTAGAACAGAACTAGACAACGAAGATTGGTTGCCTGAAGGATTTGAGGAAAGAACAAAAGAGAAAGGTTTAATCATAAGAGGATGGGCACCTCAAGTACTAATTCTTGATCATGAATCTGTGGGAGCTTTTGTGACTCATTGTGGTTGGAATTCGACGCTAGAAGGAGTTTCAGGAGGGGTTCCAATGGTAACATGGCCTGTATTTGCTGAGCAATTTTTTAATGAGAAGTTAGTGACTGAGGTTTTGAAAACTGGGGCTGGTGTTGGTTCGATTCAGTGGAAGAGATCAGCTAGCGAAGGAGTGAAAAGAGAAGCAATAGCTAAGGCAATAAAGAGAGTAATGGTGAGTGAAGAAGCAGAGGGATTCAGAAACAGAGCTAAAGCGTATAAGGAAATGGCAAGAAAAGCTGTTGAAGAAGGAGGATCATCTTACACTGGATTGACTACTTTGTTGGAAGATATAAGTACATATACTTCTACTGGTCATTAAGTTATGATTAAAAGCAAAAAAGTAGTACAGTACTTGGTATGATTTCTATACTGTTTTTGTGCTTTTTCTGTATGTGACTAGGTGCTAATTTAAACATTTCTTTTTGTCACTTTTTATAATTACATAATGACAATATGTGGAAGAACCCCTTGCCTCCATTTTTCCTTTATTTAGGAAGTAGTAAGATTATTTTCAGCCGAAAATGAGATCAGAAAATCAAGGTACTCACTGTTCCCGGATAGTAGTGGCAAAATGGATAAAAAAAATCAATAGTCATCCATATTATTTACACAAAAAAATAGGTTGGATAATGAACTTTTTAAAAACGGGTCAAATATGGATAAAAACCATATTATCCCTTAGAAAATGAATAACAAATGGATAACTAACGGATTTAACTTTTACTAGATTGCTAATGTTTGGGAGACTAGAAATTCCCCCAAAAGTGATCATATTCAAGAAGTCATGGATAATATGTATATCCATATCACACATCGGTTAACTCATTTTTTATCGGTGTTAAATATAGTTCGGATCGGATAATTTATCCGTTTTTGCATTACTCATTTTTGATCCCTTCATGACCCGACCTGCCCTCTTGCCCCTGTTAGCATTCAACATTACTACTAGAGTTCTCGATTAGAGGTAGTATTTACATATACTATGCCTCCGCGCTGCTAACTTTGAACAACTTTATTAAACTATCATTGCACTGGCATATTATGTGATCATATATTAACGAACACGAAATGATGAATGTAATAAAATAAAAAAAACTACTACGGTAGTAATAAATAGTTCAAGTTTATAGCCAGGATGCTGGAAAGTAAAAGAAAGAAGCAGTGCTTTTATTGTTAATTCCTGCATGAATCTTTAAGACATTAAAGAGACCCTTGACTATTTGCTGGTCTATGTGTGTGTATCCATATATAAGCAATTAATGTCTCGCCATACGTACAACGTTGGGTTTCTTTGACACAGTCGCATAAATAAAATTTTGTGTTAGCATTTTGGATTTATTATCACAATTCAATTTGTACACGAGTTTGTTTGGAGCAGTGGGGTGTTATAGCTTATCTTCCTATTTCAAATTGATGTCCATTTTACACTATTTTTCATGCAGTTGTTTGACTCAAAAGTTATCAAAACCTTTTGAACAAATCAATCAAAGATGAAGGGCTAAATCCTAGTTAAAGATAATTAACTCTAAATCTGAGACGAATAATATGAGTAGAAAAATATAGCCGAGTATAAATATTGGGCGTGATTATAGTCAGATTTAATAGCATAAAGAAAGATGCATTGAGTAACATTAAATGGCAATAAAATGTAGACAAAGGAAAAGATTCACCAAATCTTGAGTGGAACTGATCCTCTTTAATTTGATCAAGACGAATGATAGCAGATACAGGAGTCTTAAGACCCTTTTTGGATCTCATGAAGTTATGGGATCACATATCCTCTAATTTCTTTGGAGAGGTGTGTTTACATATTTCCTAGAAAGAGGAAGAGGGGGAGAGAGAGCGCCCCCTTTTTGGGAAGTCCCCCCTCATATTTATAAGGGGTTAAAGTACAATTTAGAGGGAATATTCAGTAGAATATTCCCTTAAGGATTGCGAAGCAAACTAGCTATTTCATTGCTATCCGTCCTCGGCTATTGATGACTGTCCGTCCTCGGCCTGTCCGACCTCGGCTGTTGATGACTGTCCGACCTCGGCTATTGATGACTGTCCGTCCTCGACTTTATGTTTCCGTGTGCCAAATTTCTCTGATCTAATTTTGACCCATACAGCAGTGTCTTTTGAACATAATACTCTACGTATACACACGCAAATACATGTATCATATACACACGCAAATATAGAAAAAAAGACATCTTTCTATATTTTAAAACTTGTTAACTTTAAACATCTCATTTTATTTTAAGATTATAAGCTGATAGCTGAGACCGTAGGTTCAATACTGAATTTAAAGCTGGGTATGAAACTGATAACTAAAATTGAAGCTGGAAAATAAGAGTTATTTTTAAGAAAATAACATTTCTTATGATGACATGATTTTATAGCCAAAAAAATAATATGACTTGCTTAAAATCATAAATTATAAAATTATTTATTTTTTTAATTTCGTGTTATTGAAGGCGAATAACACCACTTGATTGATAGACGATGTCTCTCAAATAGCGCAATGCTTGGATTCTTCCAAAAGACCGAAGACTTTTGTGAGGGCCGCAAAATTATGACCCGTCAGATCTTCAGTTTAGTTGTATCGTTCAATTTAAGTAGTTAAGTCAGCCGACAATGTTTTGACGAATTAAAATTTGGGAAAATGACATGATAATAATTGCTTTCAAAATAATAGTTGAAAAATATTTTTTTTGTGTATGTATATATTCTATATATTATATACAAAAATTATATAAATTTTATACACTTTTTCAGCTATTTAATATAAATAATTTCTAGCACAGGTTAAAAAGTGATAATACTCATTAAAAGTTTCTAAAGAGGTCTTGTGCTTCCTGGAAAATAAATACTCTACAAAGTTTGTGGTAGGTCGTATCAGTGGATTGCCAGTTGCTGTCATCCTCTATTGACCACATTTCTCTCTAGCTAGGGCCTCTTCTGATGAGTTTTTTCATCACAAATTTTCTTACGATATTGAATATGCCACATATTTTACAAATTTAAAGGACTTTAAATGTCCTCTTTTACATTCTATGGACTAGGTTAAACCTATATAGTACTCATAACTTAATCGATTATTCAGGACTTTTCACCAACCTAATACCATTAACAAAATTATACTTTTGTAATTTTGATTGAAGGTTCCTTCTCTCGTTTCTCAAGTGAATCATAAGTTGTTGTACTTTACATTGTTTTAATATGATACATATTCATCAAGATATATAAATATCAAATCGAATAGTAATTTACTTTCGAAATATACCCCCTTAATTCTACCAAATTGTTTACCTCGAAAAATACGAGTAACAATATTTGTGGTTTTAAAGATATGTGATTAAATTCGATACCAATTAAGAATAAAAAAATATGAAATGGAAATGAAAGATAAAAGTGAATCAAACCAATGTTACTTAGCAGCAATGACCTCGAGACGGTGACCTCGAGGTGGCTTAGGGCAGTAAGAACAATTAAGCAGGAAAACCAAAGTAAGAACAATTAAGCTAAGGGACAATTCTCATGAACAACAGGCAAAAAGTAGAGAGTATATTCTTTGCTCAATGAAAAGATGATCTTACAAATGATTGGGATCCCCTTTATATAATAGGGGAACCCTGAATAAGGAATATTTCTATTTACAGTAGGGAATATTCTTGTTACATCTGTCTAACCACCTAGTACGGTATTGTACGATCTCACTCTGTAATTTGCGCCATGATCCCAGGGACGTGGCAGGAATCTAGCTCGCTCTTATACAAATCCATAACGGTACTATTTCGGGGTAGAACACGCCCGACCTCGGTATGCATCATGCTTTGCCTTCGAACTCGGGTCTGGTCCCTCGAGCTCGAACCAGGCCTTACCCGGACTCGGACATCAGACGACCTCTCAAGTATATAGATCGAATGAATTCGATCTCGACCGTATACAGATAGTCCCCGCGTTTCTTAGAGTAAGATGATAAGAAACGTTTTTGATCCTCGTTTTTCAGAAGTCTTAAGTGATGACGTCATTTCTGTGATGCAAGCGTTCGAAGTGACCGAAACATCCCGTCAGTCCACTTTCCCAAAACATTGAATGCATGCCAGTATTGGTCGGCCATTAGCGTCGCCGAACCGTCGTTTCCCTTCTATAAATATGAGGCGGTTCCTCTGAGTAAAGAACTTTACTCTTTCTTTACATCTTCCCTATCTTTATCTTTTTCTCTAATCATCCGTTTCCACAGCCTCTTTAAGTGCCGAAAAACACCACACTCTTGTAAGAAACACCACATCCCTGTGCAACCCATATTCTTTAGCTTACAGCCATGGCTAAAACTTCCAAAATGGTCCCAAAAAAGGATAAAGCGTCATCTTCTTTTACTTCCTGGCTGGCTAAACCGTTGGTGCCGCCAACTCTTGGGGAAATCACCCCCGACCCTTGTGTAATCAAGAAGGACTTTAGTATTGAAAACCCCCCCGACGTCCCAGGTCGATGCGAGCACGCATCTCGATATATTAGCTTGATATCGAAGAAGCTCATCAAGGATGTGAGGAAGGACTGTGGCTGGGGAGATGAGGTCGAGATTCAGATCCCGAGCCACGAGGAAAGCATTACTACCCACGTGGAGGGGTTTTTAAGTGTTTACACTTATCACTTCGCACTGGGTCCCCTCGATCCGGTGGTGATCGGATTCTGCAAAACATACGAAGTCACCCTCGGTCAGATTCATCCTTCTTTTTGGCGTATCGTGATCATGCTGCGCTTCTTTTTCGAAAAGGCTGAAGGGTTAGAATTCACCCTCAGTCACCTGATCCGATTGTATCGGCCCCAGCTGTTTCGAGGGCTCATCAAGTTGCAACGTCGAACAACGAAAGCCATCTTTGCTAGTACTAACGAGACCAAAGATCGAGGTTGGATGAGCCGGTAAAAACTTCGGATGTTATCCCAGGGGACAAAATGTTGTTCCCAGAGAGGTGGAACTTTAATCGTAAGTGGAGTCCCTTCCCCCGGTGTCTATTCATGTTTTGCTTCTTCATCTCATAATACCTTTACCCTTCTTTTTGCAGCCACTGCCTGGGTGCCCCTCGCGGTGCCGAACCTCGAGGATTAGGTCCGAAAGTTAGCTGCCACCTCTTCCTACGATGAGCGCAAGTAGCGTGAATTAGCGAAGGGCCAATGGGAGGCCAAGAACTATGGTAAGTGCTTTCCCTAGTTTTAAATACTTTTCCTATACTGGTGGTGTCAATTTACTCATGTTTACTTGTGCAGGCCTCGGGGATGCATCTGAGATGAGGCTGTTGATACCCAATTTTTTCCTATGTATTCTTATACACAAATGTTTTCAAAATAACATGTACACGCATATATAAGCATGCCCAAGTGTTTTGGTATTTTTCCTAATTTTTTAAAGATTTTTAAAATCAATTTGTTGTCCATTTTAGCAATACAAAATCAGTAATTATTCCCAAAACTATCAATTTTGGTGAATAATT